TGGTCCAGTCGGCTGTATTTATCAGGACCAGGCTGCCAGACTGGACCCTGGGCACCACGTTCACCAAGTAGAGCCTGGACATCAAAACAACATACACACACTTAAGACACTGTACCGGTATATCAGCAACTGTTCCATGTCCACACTGAGACCTCCAGGGACCTACCATACCCTCATCCTAAGCTATAGGTGGCTTGTGAGGCCTCTGCTGGTTTTTCCAGTGCACCTGCTTTGTATTGGCTAGCGCCACATTGCTAGCATTGTCATGCTGTGACTTTACCTGAAAGTCCCCAGTGTTCCGCAGTGGTGGAAAGCACATTCACCAGGTTATCAGCAGTTTGCCCATCTGGCATTGCTTTAGTCTGAAGAACAGCGCTCTGTATTTTCAAAATACTTATATAATGGCAGATGACTGTCACATACCATTCAGTTGTAAGCGCCGCCCATGCATCTGTGTGTAGCCAGTAATTCCCTTACTGTGTACTATTTGTCTGAGATTTGGATGTAGTTTCCCTTCTCCAACGTGTTTCTGTAGGTTCCTCTGTGTGCTTTTTGTACATCAGGCACTTCAAATGCGTGAGTCAGTACACCTGGTAGGTGCAAGAATGCGAGCGTCACTCGAGGTGCACACAAGAAGCTACACTTTTAGTCTGTGCCACTAAGTGAACGATGTGAACTGTCTTGCCTCTAAATCTGATTGGCACAGAACTGGAAATCTCAGAGTGACTGGCCGGTTGCCACTCAAGGCTGATCATGCTGGAGACTGACCACTTCCAATCTCTGCCAATTGATGGGTATATCTGTACCAGAGACCTCACTGTTGTTCAAAAGCAATTAAAAACACAGCAGTAAAATACACTACTGCACTGGGTGACACGTTTCTTCCCTAAGAAACACAAAACCCAAATGTGTGGGAATTTTTAAAAATACTATTAATATACAGTAGAAAATGTGTTAAATTTGTGCAGTGTTGTGTACTGCAGTTGTTCAGTTACCTGTTTGTTCTTTCTGTCCACAGAGACAGCAGCTGGACTGGACATCTGCTCTTTCATTTCCTTCAAGAGAAACCATAAGTAGCCAATCAGATATCATCAAATCACCCAGGTGGACAGACAGGTGGGTTTACACTGGTGTACAAAATGAAGTTTACCTTGACAGCTTGTCTGGTGCTGGCGATGAAGGCTTTCCTCTTTGAGAGCTCAGCTGTGTCCAGGTTGAACTTCTTCGGGTTTGACTCAACGATACATTCATTGACCGTTAAGAAAAACCTTCACACTTCAAAAACCTCAAGTCACATCATTTGACTTCAGCAGCAGATCAGGTGACCTCCGCTCTGTCTTTAAAGGATATTGATGGTCTCATCTAGGTCCTCCAAGTCCCACTCAATGGACCGAAGACTGTTCCTCAGCTCATTGGTCGTCCAGTCCATTTCCTCTTTGGAGGCTCCACCCCCCTCTTGTAGCAGTTCGCTCCATCTGTGATGGAGGCTCTGTGCTGCATTCACTGCCTTTTGTACCTCACTGTTAACACACATCATAGATTAATAGCCACTGTAACTCTGTGGTGCCATTTTAATTTGTAGAGGTTTCAGAAAATAGTGTACATCAGATGTAACAGAGCTAGTTTTACTAAAGCCCAAGGCAACTATTTCTGCCTAGTTGAATGTAATTCAAGGAGGTCGACGCTAATGTCAGACTGCCTGACAATGGGAGTTTTCTCTAAGTTAACACCATATCACATATCCACACATTCTGAGACATGTCCACCTGTGGCCAACAACAGATTGAACAAATTTTGACAGACCATGAAAATGGCCCTTATTACATATGATCTTCATGTGAAGTTTAAAGGAGGATGTTCTCGTCCATCTCTCAGTGTAGCATATGGTTAAAGTATGAACAGGAGAAATAAACAATTATTCTCATAAATGTAAGAGGTTTGTTTTTAAAACCTAAAAACAACTTATAAACTGTATTTAACTGTCGCCAAGTGCTTGCTCAAGGGGGATTTGTTGGGTTTTTCTTTATTAAAATAATAATAGACTTTAGTGTGTAAAGTGCCCTGAGATGATTTTTGTTGTGATTTGGCGCTATACAAATAAAACTGAATTGAACTGAACTGAGTATTTCTATGTGGAGAAAAAGTGAACCTGTGTTTACAGGCAGACAGGAAAATCAGTGAAACACAAGCCTTGGTCTATTAATGATTTACACTGTTAAAAAGACACTGGATAATAACCCTTGTGAGACATCCTATTGCTCAGATGGTTTCAAACAAACATCTGGAAGATGGTAAATAAAAATAGACCTATAACTATGTCTTTATTAGGGCTGGGCGACGTGATGATCCTGGCTCAACGTTGTGATGTCTCTGTCCTACTTTATCTGTCAGACAATTATCTAATGAAGAATAAACACACAATACATCGTCTAATGAATAATATAAAATAACCCAATAAAAATAAACAATGAAAGTTCTAATGATTATGAAACATAAGATAAACCAGCTGATATTTCCTCTGCACAGTTGACACTAACATCACATCTATTTTTTTACATAATTTTCATAGGAAAATTCCGCTGTTTATTATCAGGTAGATACCATTTTAATTCACAGAGGATTCCACTGAACTCACAATCAAACTCGTATCATACAATAAAGTCTGATTGTGAATCCTGTTCACGTAGACGAGCTCTCTGCTAATATGCTAAGTCACTGATAAAACTCTGACCGGTAACGTTAACATGTTGCTTAGCTAGCTGCTTAACTAATTTCTGTTAAACTGCAAAGTTAAAATCTCTGCGGCTGTACCGACTATCGACCGTCTGTCAGTCCTCCACAGACTAAGACAAGCCGTTAGCCCTGTGAACATTAGCTCGGATAGCAAGGTGTTCTGACCCTTTGACGACGAAGAACGGATCTTCCATGGACATGTTTTTTGGCTCTGGTTCAGTCCCGGCGGAGCTCCATCACTTACAATATCAGCCCCGGAACAGCCTAAATAAGCTCAGCCTTATTTTATTGAATTATGATTAAAACGGTGAGTTTATCTTCATCAGACGTGCTGCTAACTCCGCTTTGTTTACATGCAGCGGCGGAAACCAGCCCGTAACGTCACGTACACGTGGGTCGGGACGTCTAAATAAATAATCATGCATTGAAACAAAAGATAATTTACAGAAAACATGAACAGACTGATATATGAAACGTCTGTCAGAGGATATAATGATGATTCAGGGGGTTTGGAGCCGGCAACACTATTTAAATAAATTCAGTTCTATTTGTATCACAAAAATCATCTCAGGGCTCTTTAGCTGCATAGTAAGGTCTAAGTCTATAGACTTTACAGTATTAGCCTACAGGGGAAAACCCAACATATCCCCCTTGAGCAAGCACTTGGTGACTACTACCTACTAATAGGCAATAACTGGATTAAGGAGTCGACGTGAACGAACAATCAAAATAAATTCTGATTCTGAAATGTAACAGTGTTTTAGACCATAACCAGAGCAGCTTCTGGACCAGTCTCTCAAAAGACTTCATAATTACAGACGTCAGGGTGACAGGTCTGTAGTCATTCAGTCCACTGATGGAAGGTTTCTTGGGGACTGGGTTGATGGTGGAACATTTGAAACAGGAGGGGACTTCACACAGACCTAGTGATCTGTTGAAGATAAATGTGAAGTTGGAGGCCAGCTGGTCAGCACAAGCTTTCAGGCAGGAGGGGGTCACGCTGCCTGGACCTGGTGTCTTCTTAAACTTATGTCTCCGAAAAAGGCCAGGCACATCCTTTTCAAAGATTGTTAGTGGTGGGGGCGCTTGAGGGAAGAAGGGAGGAGATCATAGGGTGTGCAGCTGCTGATCTTGAGTCTTGGTTGTGGGTCCGAGGTGGGTGAGGGGTGCAGAGTTTTCTGTAGCCAGTGACGTTTTTCAGGCTTCTCCACATACATGACAGGTCGTTGGCTGAAAACAGTTTTTTCAGCTTTTCAGACTAGCTCCTCCTTGCTACTCTGATTAGTGTGCTCCTGGCTGCCTGTACAGGATCCTGCCCCCACGTCTGTAGGCCTCCTCTTTGGCACGCTGAAGCTGCTTGAGTTTTACTGTGAACCAGGGCTTGTTGTTGTTGTATGTGCACAAGGTCTGGATAGACACACGCATCCTCACAAAAGCAGATGTAAGACAACATAGTGTCATTGAGGTCATCCAGGTCTGTAGCTGCAGCCTCAGATACACTCCAGTTTGTGAAGTCAGAGCAGGCCTGTAGCTCTGACTGTGCCTGATTAGTCAATATCTTCACCATTTTAAAGACAGGCTTTGCAGTTTTAAGTTTCTGTCCGTAGGTCAGGATGAGAGGAACCATGCAGTGATCAAAGAGCCCGAGGGCTGCATGGGGAACAGAGCGATAAGTATTCTTTATTACTGTGTAGCATGGTCCAGTGTGTTTTTGTCCCTGTTTGTGGGTGATATTTGTCCTGTTAAAATTCTCTAAGACAATGAGTGGGGAGTCAGGGTATTTCTGTTCTGTACAAATTATCTGGTCTGCTAGGTGTCGCACTGCTTGGCTTGAGGTGGGATGTAAACCCCAACCAGGATAAATGAGCAAATCTGCAATGAATAAATTGGATTATAGTTATTGAATAGTCTTTAAGCCCTTGCTAAATGTTTTCCCACGGTGACATCTTTAGACAAACCTTCATTTACGTATTTGTGTGGTTACTATGCTGGTGAACTCAACCAGGGTATCTGAATGCTTTCCCCTCCAGTTTCCCCACTGTGGGATCAATAAAGTACCTACTCTACTTTATATCTGCTCCAGGTCCCATAGATAGCTGCTGCTCCTCTTACCAGAATTTTTTCCATTAATAAAAATGGGAGAAAAATACTCAGAGTGAGATGTCTTATGTTTAAGAGCTTTTCTGTGGTGAAAGTAATCTGAGATGGATTGCAGAAAACAAATTAACAAAAAAGACAAAAACAGCAAAAGCACAAGGGTGCACACAACTGAAGTGCCATTTTGAGACAGTGGACAATGGTGGACAAATGTCAATGCTGGCCAAAGTTACTTTTAAATATAATATGAAATGACCATAATTGTTCAAGTATAATAAATGATTAATGTCTTTTGAGGACAAAATATCCAGAAGTTAAATGCTGACCCTGTTTGTTCTGTAAACACTCAGACATAAAAACTGTATCTTGTGATGTAGGCACTGATAGTGGTGTGTGATTTCAACTTTATTTAATTGTAATTTTAAAAAATTACGTTTACTTTGTATCATTTATATTGAAAGAGCTTGTTTACATGTGAAGTAATTTGGTAAATACTGTTAAACAATAAAATGACATGCTTCATAATGCAATAAGACATCACAGATCACTGTAGTGGCAACATATTGTGTGTTTCTCTATGAGTCCAGCAGGAGGCGGTAATCGGTTAGTTATCCAACAGTAATTATACAGAATAAGAGGCCTGGGCTATCGCGATAACATATTTCACTCCACGTGAGTTAATCGTCTTTGTGTGAAGCGCGGATTAGCAACTAGCATTAGCAAGGAGTCTGACATTTGAGAAATATTGTATTTTCAGTACAACACCAATCCACAGATCGATATAAGAGAAGAATCAGTTTGTGTACCACCTGTCGGCCATAGTAAACAGGTAAGACGTGAAGTCTCTTCGCAGCGTTAGCTTCTTTATAAGGCTGTGGATCTAACATGCGACTAACGTTAACATCGTGTTCGAAAGATGTTGGCTGATTGTCGTCATGTAATAGTATTGGATGACAATAGCAAGCTAAAATGGTAGGCAAGACCGAAGATGGACTGATAGCAGACGATAAAGCCACGTTTAACAAAGAATTCTGTCTAAATCTAGCCTAAGTTTCTCTGCTAAAGATTAGCATTAGTATGTCAGATACAAGCTGAAAAACGTCGTTGTGTATAAGGCCGATTTCTTTTTCTTTTTAATTTACTCCATCTCACGATTATCGTGATTTTATAGTGTAATCTTTGGATGGTCATTGTCTATCTGTTTTGGATAAAGTGGCCTCGGTTAAACACGACCTGCACCTCTAACAGTTCACACGTTTAAGTGTAATTGGAGAGTTGAGCAGCTGTGTAAAACCACCGGACTTTAAGTTCACTGCCTCTGTATAAAAGACCTTTTATTATCGTTTAACAATATGGTTGACAGGGCTGTGTATCTCACTCTCACACTTCGATGCGCTTCTTGATACGTGGTCCGGGATTACAAAAAAATAACAATACAGAAAACATTTGTAACTATATGATACAGATCAAAATGATTTCGATTAAGCAGATATTCAATTTTAATTTAGCTTGTATTTGAAAGACAACATAGAGCCCTGATCCTAAACAGATACTTTACTGCTTATGTAAACTTTTACTGTATGTTTTGGGGCACTTGTGCCTCTAATTGAAAAAATTTAGGGCACAGTTTTAATAACTCACACCCTGGACACAATCAGTTTGAACTCCTCCCCTCTGGATGGCGTTACAGGTCACTGTGCACCAAGACAACCAGGCACAGGGACAGTTTCTTCCCCCAGGCTGTCACTCTGATGAACACTTAACCAATGACAGTATGATTGGACAATAACCCTCAGTGCAATACCTGTAAATATACCTCGTATAGATTATACAGATTTGTACAGTTCTGTAGTTTTAAGTACTCTGTTCTTTCTATTTATCTTATCTCAATGAGCATTCCTTTGTCTGTCTGCATCGTTTACTGCCTGTTAATACTGCTTATTTTTGTTGTATTACACAGCCTTATGCTGGTTTACTGTTTACTTGCCCCTTGCAAGGGGATATGTACATACACATTGAGAGCTGATGTGCCAGAGTCAAATTCCTCGTGTATCCGACACACCTGGCTAATAAAGCAGATTCTGATTCTAATAGCAATTAAAGCATGTCTTTTATAAACATTTAACATAATATAAGAACCTCACAAAGACCGGGTGTATTGTGCTGCATGAATGTACCTTTTTCAAACAGCACAAAGTTTACAAATTAATTTTACAGCTTGAAAAGAGAGTTGGCGTTTAACATTCTATCCAATGTGAATCCAGCATCAAATTAGTGATGGAATCAACGAAATTAAAATTTTAAATATTACCACTTTTAACTTAAACTGGCACCAAAATCCATCTGGTGACACAACATCACTTATAGCCAGTGTCAAACCTTATAAGAATCATGTAGTAAACAGAGGTTAAATTAACTTGGATGATTTCTTCTAGAAGAAATTTCTCATTTCATGTACAACTTTGTTACAGTTGCAAGAAAAAGTCGTGGCACAGCTTGCGATTTCCTGGTTTTCTGCATAATGTGGTCATGAAATGTGCAGTGATCTTCACCAAAGTCACAAATTTCCAACACCTCAATATTTATAAACTGATAAAACACAACCAGTCATGATTTTTCATGTCTCTATTGAACACACCCATTAAACGTAGCCAGGAGACCTCCTGCAGTTGCTGCTTGTTTCATTTTTAAATTTGGCTTATAGTGGAATTTGAGGGTGTATCAGATCACATATCAGATCATGTTACTGTCAAGTGAAGATGTAGTGTTGTTTGATCGCTGACCAGTCATGGTTAATAATATGAAGCTGGTTTCTTTCAGACACACTGAACCACCCGAGTCATCTCCATGGCACTAAGACGAGGACATATCAGGTACCTGAAGGTGAGTTGATCAATAACTCATAGGATCACAAGCAGCCTGTTCGGGTCAATAATGTTCTGTCAGTGTGTCGCCCACCAGACTCTATATTATACTTGGCAGGTGAATTATTCTGTCCATGGTGGGACAGACTCGGACGTTAAAGATACTGCCCATTTTTTGTTCTGTTTTAGCTGATTTTTGTCTTGTAATTTACTTTTACTCTTAAAAGGGTAACCACACATTTTTTTGCTCTACACATGATCACTTAGGATCTTGTTGACATATGCTGTCAACCATTTATTTTGAGCTCTGCTAGTTGTTCTTTGTGCATTTATCTTGTTTGTGAATATATTCTGTGATTGTGATGGTTTTTGATTGTGACCTTCCAAAGGACTGCAGGTGAAAATGAGCTTTAAGCTGACTTGGGAACATAAATTAAATGGCAACATTAAAGTTTAATATTGTACACGGTTCCTTACAAATTAAAATGTAAATGAAATTTTAAAAAAGGTGATTTTTTTTTTTCTTTAACAATAGAATTCAATATTGTGTAAAAACTTTTCTGTGCAAATTTGGTAGTTATCAGTTTGGATTTGAAAGTTCAGTTCTGCTAAATCCTCTGACCCCTCAATCGTGAGGACAGTTGAGTTCGTTTAAATATGTTGTTTAGAATGAAGGTGTGTGTTTAGGCTTTATAATTCTGTTTGTGTTTTTGATCTTTGTATATTGACTTGTTTCCAGTCTCAATGTCTGTTTTGTACAACATTTTTATTGCCTTAAATGTGTAAATTGTTTATTTTATTTCAGGCGCGTTGTATTTTGCGTGTCACCTATGTATTGTGTTTTCAGGTGTGTGAGGTTCAGACGTCTCAAAGTGATGCCAGAGACGGTCAGCAAACTACCAAAGGAGCTGTCGGAAAGGTGACTGCTGCCTGCGGATTGGTTGAGCGTGTATTCCATCTCTCATTCCTTCAATTTGTTACATCTTATATTCAGATGATATAATACAGGTGAAAATGATGTACAATTGCTGGCTGTGTGTATCTCAGGAGCTGTATGATAACGGCTTCAGTGATCAGCTGATGGAGGATGACGACGCCCGGACAAACCTGATTGTGAACTCCCTGCCACAGAGCATGAGTCAGGACGAGCTGCGCAGTCTGTTCAGCAGCGTGGGCGACGTTGAGTCCGCCAAGCTCATCAGGGACAAAGTGGCAGGTAACTCCCTCGCTTTACTGCTGCTCCAGTGCTATTTCAGTACTTGCAATACTACTTGTACTACAACAGTGAGTATCAGATCACAGTACTACTGTGGTACTACAGAAAAGGTACAGTAGTGTTGTTTGCTTAGTGCTAATACTTCTAAGGTCAGTTAGTCTAAATGCCACAGTCCTGCTGAGTGCAACTATAATAGGTTCTGATACACTATATTACAGTATTAATACTGCAAGTTTAAATAATGTGGTAGTTTTACTGGCAGTAGTATGTATGTTGATAGTATTAGTAGTAGCTGGATCAGTACCACCATGAATATTTCCTGTGTACTTTCTTTTCAGCAGCCCCCCCATAAATATTTCTTTTTCACTGATGATCAGCTGGTTTTGATTTTCATATTTTTGTTTTTAATGCAGTTTTTTTTAAAGGAAGATTGTGATTTTTATTTATTCATTTTTTTGTCAGAATAGTATCTGAATACTTTTTCCTTTCTGCACTGTTGTAATATTTTATTTTTCATGCCAGGTTTACTGACAACAGTGATTTTAATTATGATGCCAGAACGATGACTTAAAACTTTGGCATTCAAAACAAAACTCGAAATGAATAAAAACCTACACACTGAAACACTTGAATTGGAAAAAAAAAGTATTGCCGTTGAAAACAAAGTATTAACAAAGCACCAAGCTTAGCGCTAGCTTTAGCATGAGCAGCCAGTGGGAGTAAGTCTCACATGTGCAAGTCTCAAGTCTTTTTGGGGATATCATTGACAAAACTGCTATTTTTAATTGTGCATTATTCGTATGCTATAAACCAGGGATGCGCCGATACCAGATTTACTGTTCCGGTTATTGGAACAGAGAATTGATAGGAAGCAGATTTGATAAGCAGAATCGGAATTGATAGAATTGAAACATCAGTCGACCCTACTGACACTGGGGAAAAAACTAACATCGTAAAAAATCACTGACAACTGCATCAAAATAAAAAAAAATATATATAAAAGTGATATATTTGAAATTGTTTTTCAGCATTGATGCATTTTCTATTGCCAATAATTTTTTTACACTACAAGTGTTTCAAAGTGTACTTATTTCTGTATATCCCTCCTTCAGGGTGTGTTTTCAATGCCAAATTTTATTTTTCATTGCTAAAATTTAGTCCTTGTTCTGGCTCCATATTTGTTTGGTTTCGGGTAATGAATGAATAAATCAGTTGGGCGATATGGATCAGTTTTCTGTTCTGTCAATATAATGTTACATTTGTCACATCTAAATAAATAAACCTCTGTTTTAATTTGTCACATCAGGGTGGAAATATATACATGATTAAAAAAAAAAAAAAGAACACCTTGCTCATTGGTTTAAAACATGTTCACAGCAACCAGATAACACGAGAGATACTAAAGGTAGTAAAAACTGATAACTCTTCTCTGGATCTTTGCTGTCATATCGCCCAACCTTCAGTCAACACTGTTGAAACAGAATTTGAGAAGAATGTGTAAATGTTATAAATTCTGTTTTTATTTTGTTTAGGCTTTGACTGTGTTTGTAATGTTTTAATAATGATTGTATGAAGATTCTGAACAAGTCCAGAAAACTGTCCTCGCATATTTCAGATCGAGTTTGAGCACTAAATGTTTCCTCAGAGTGACTTTACATGACCTTGTCCTGATTATAAAGTCAGCAGTTGATATGA